AGGAGCGCGGTCCGCGGGGACAGCTCTTAGCAGGTCCTCCCCGGGGAGCCGCCCTGCAGCCAAGGCCTTGGCCGGGAAGAGGAGGTGGAGCGCCTGACCTCACCTTCCCTCTCCTCGTCCCCTTCGGCAGGGGCCACGGTGGTGCTGAAGTCCAAGTTCTCGGCCAGCCAGTTCTGGGAGGACTGCCAGCAGCACCGGGTCACGGTTTTCCAGTACATCGGCGAGCTGTGCCGGTACCTCGTGAACCAGCCGCCGGTGCGTGGACAGCCGCTGTGGCAGGCGGGCCGGCTCTGAGATGCGCGGGCCCCTCTGACACACAGGGTGGACGCAGGGGTCACGTGAGCGTTCTGGGAAGGAGAACCAGGCCTCCGGCTCCTTACGGTGCGCCCGGCCTCCCCGCAGAACAAGGCAGAACGTGGCCATAAGATCCGGCTGGCAGTGGGCAGCGGGCTGCGCCCTGACACCTGGGAGCGTTTCGAGCGGCGCTTTGGGCCCCTGCAGATCCTGGAGACCTACGGCCTGACTGAGGGCAACGTGGCCACCTTTAACTACACCCGACAGCGGGGTGCTGTGGGGCGCGCGTCCTGGCTGTACAAGGTGAGGGGAGGGAGGAGGCGGAGCTTGTGGAGCAGCGCGGTGCTGGTGGGGTGGGCTCTGCAGCCGCAGTGACCCGGGCTCTCCCTACCCCAGCACCTCTTCCCCTTCTCTCTGGTCCGCTACGACGCCAGCACAGGGGAGCCATTTCGGGATGCCCAGGGGCGCTGCCTGGCCACGTCTCCAGGTCTGTGCTCAGTGCGACGGGCAGGGGTGACGGCTGGCACCGTGGAGTCTGGGAGGCTGTGGGTGAGGCGGACAGTCGTTCCTGACCCCAGGGACTCTGCCAGGTGAGCCAGGGCTGCTGGTGGCCCCAGTGAGCCAGCAGTCTCCGTTCTTGGGCTACGCGGGGGGCCCAGAGCTGGCCCGGGGAAAGCTTCTGCAGGACGTCTTCCGGCCAGGGGACGTGTTCTTCAACACAGGGGACCTGCTGGTCTGCGATGACCAAGGCTTCCTTCGCTTCCATGATCGGACTGGGGACACCTTCAGGTATCGCCCCATTAGCTGTCCGATTCCTTTTCCTGGACGTCCGGGCTCTGAGCCAAACCTGACTTCAACTCCCTCATCTCGCCCGTCGGTGCTCCGGGTCCTCGTCTGTGGGTAGTCCCAGACCTCTGAGCCGCTCCCAGCGGGTTCCCAAGCCCTGGCCCCTGGCCCCTGGTTTTAGCTCTCTGCTCTCTGACAGGTGGAAGGGCGAGAACGTGGCCACAACAGAGGTGGCAGAGGTCTTTGAGGCCCTGGACTTTCTTCAGGAGGTGAACATCTATGGAGTCGCTGTGCCAGGTGCCTAGGCGCGGAGGTGGGGGGCGTCCGGCCCACCAGCCCAGTTGATAAAAAGTGGCTCACACTGCCCCACGCTCGCCAGGACACGAAGGCAGGGCTGGCATGGCAGCCTTGGTCCTGCGTCCACCGCACACTCTGGACCTTGGGCAGCTCTACGCCCACGTGTTTGAAAACTTGCCACCCTACGCGCGGCCTCGGTTCCTGCGGCTTCAGGTAACTGCCTGCCCTGAGCCGGTGTACCCCAACTGCACCAGGACCCCATAACATGTCCTGTGCAGGGCGAGAGCAGCTCTTCCCGACGCACTTCTCCCGCCTCCTTTCCTGTCTCCCCCCTCCAGCCTGGCGCCTCCTCCGCATGACTCACCTGGTGCCCCCTCTCCCCAGATCTGCCCCTTAGCCAAATGTAAGCAACTCACCTGAACCGACTGGACGGAAGCTCTCTTCCTTCAGCGCCCTTCCACCTCCTCCCTCTTCCCAGGAGTCTTTGGCCACCACGGAGACCTTCAAACAGCAGAAGGTTCGGATGGCGAGGGAAGGCTTTGACCCAGGCACACTGTGTGACCCGCTCTACGTCCTGGACCAGACTGCGGGTGCCTACCTGCCCCTCACCCCTGCGCGGTACAGTGCCCTTCTGCTCGGAGACCTCCGAATCTGAGACCTCCCATACCCGGGGCAGCCGAGGGAGGCCACTGCAGGCATCCCGGAGCTGTCAGGGATCTTTTATACACTGACTGGCACTGTTTTGTAATAAATGATGCTGGGGCTAACCTGGCTGTGTCTTTCTGATCCGGCCTGACATCTGCTGAGTGTGTGGAGCCACAGGGCCCTGCTTTTCTGCCCTGATTTTAGTACCTCTTGCCGGACCCTGCTGCCCTCCTTCTCAGCGGCCTTGCAAGTGATGTTTGCCTGGGCTTGAGTGTGTCCCGTCCCATGACAGGACCCCCACTGCTCTGTCTGGAGCCCTGCCCGCACTTCTCCACAGCACTGGGTGCAGCCCAGCCTGGCCAAACATCCGTTAGACTTGGGGGATGAGGCTCCCGGCTCCCCTTACCTCAGAGCTCTGAGAAGCCAGTGTGTGCTGCGGGGGGCCTCCAGATCCAGGGTCCCTGCTCCTGTGAAGTCCTGGCCAGACAGTCCTAGCGGGGAGAGGGCTAGCATCGAATCGAAGGAGGCTGCACCTTGGCCCTGAATGAGGTGGCCAAAAGATCACCTGAAAGGGTTTCTGTTGTCAGAAACAAGTTTATAAGTAAATTTAGTCAGCATATATAAGTGACCTAAAAACTCAACAGGATAGGGGCTGGGGATTTAGCTCAGTGGTTCTGCCGCCTGCCTCACAAGCACAAGGTCCTAAGTTTGATTCCCCAGTACCAAAAAAAATTTCAATAGGATAAATTTTAAAATCACTTTGAAGGCCATCTCTATAAAAGGGATTTTCATAGGTCAATCACCAGATGTGACCAAGCCAGTGCCATCTTAACTGGCAGAGGGCCAAGACGTGGAGCAGTGTGAGTTCCCCCACCAAGGTCACACTAACTCCGCAGGAAAGAAGCTATGAGAGGTCTAGGGTTTACCTCAGTGGCACCGCACCTGCCTCACAAGTGCAAGGTCCTGAGTTTGATACAAAAAAAAGGTATTGTTTCCTCTTAGAAGAGAAGAAAAACCCTGATTACGCAACCAAGCATAACACAATGAAAAGCTGCACTAGTACACGAGTGCAGATGACCCTGCTGGGAGTAACTTGTTCTTCTGGAGCCCCGATAAACACAACCTCTCTGTCAGCTGGACAGTTAGTTAACCTGGCAGGATGAGGATTTACTCAAGGAATCCACATAGCATTTCACTGCCATGAAAGCAAGCACTCTAGTTAGGAGAAAACCAGCTGCACTCAAAATTACACACACCCTAGAGCTGGGTGTGGTGGGGGACCCCTGTAATCCCAGCACTTGGGAGGCTGAGGCAGGAGGAACACTGTGAGTTCAAGACCAGCCTGGGCTACACAGTGAGTTCCAGATCAGTCTCAAGTACATAGACCTGTGACAAAAAACAACAACAACAAAAAATTACACGCACCTTAATGACAAGACTCCCCAGCACTTGCGAATGCAAAACATTTAACTTTAAAATATTACACTACAGTATATAAAACAGCTACTGTAAATGCACATTGTGCATGATGTAGCTGCCAGGTCTCATTTTCTTTTTCTTTTTTGGTACCAGGGATCAAACTCAGGACCTTGCACTTACAAGGCAGTTGTCAAAACCACTGAGCTAGGGATGGGGGATTTAGCTCAGTGGTTCCGGCACCTGCCTCACAAGCGCAAGGACCTGAGTTCAATCCCTGGTAACCCCCCCAAAAAACCCACTGAGCTAAATCCCCAGCCCCAATGTCTCATTTTCTTTTGGAGAAACTGTAAGTTATTCTGGTTAAGACTTCTATCTTCAGCCTTGAAAAAGCCCACATCTACCTCAGGGTGTATGTACAGACCCAACAGCCCCAGTTTGAAAACCCAGGATCAGATCCTAACCAATTCCACTACAAAAGGACCCTGTTACTTGTCTATCAACTCTAGCACTTTAACAGCTACCCAACAAGTCATCAGCATCAGAAACATCATTGAGCCGGGTGTGGTGGCGCATGCCTGTAATCCCAGTACTCAGGAGGCTGAGGCAGGAGGATCTCCACCAGTTCAAAGTCAGCCTGAACTACAAAGTGAGACCCTGTCTCAAAGAAAGAAAGACAGTGGGCGGGGGCGTGGAGAGGGAGAGAGGGAGGTAAGGCAGGCAGGCAGGCACACAGTGAGAAGCACAGAATGTCCGCTGTCCTCTCTGTGACCCAAGGCTGGTGACAGGCAGAACTCAAATACAAATGCAACATATTAGAAACAATTTCTTACAAAGAGTCATTAAACCAACGTATTTTACAAAGAATTTACTACCAAACACCACAGTGACTTCCCTCAAGTTGTCTCCTGCAGCCGGCAGCCCGCAGAGTCCCTCCCGTGATCGCATGGGTGCAGCGCACATCCACAAGAGGAGTCCACCAGGCAGGCCGCGCTGGCCTTCTAGGGCACCAAGGGTGCACCCAGAAACCTTGGTCTGCCTTGAGGACCTGGACCTGCAGAGGTCGCTTCCGAAGAAGCCGGGGTTTCTGGTAACCAGGACGCGGTTCCCGAACCCTGGTCCGTGCAGTGGCCAAGCTTCTCCGCCTAGCCAGCAGGGAGTGCGCTGGACTCCAGCGTTAGCCTGTGGGACGGCCCGGCCAGTGGACCGAGGCCGCCGCCCGCGTCTGAGGTAGCTTCTGACCACTGCGCTGCCCAGGCCAGATGCCCAGGCAGAGGGGAAAAGCTGCTTTCCCAAGAAGCACCGAGCCACTCTGCACCCGAAGAGGATTTGAACGATGGACCGCTGGGCAGGGGAAACATACTTGTAACCCCAGCACATAGGGAAGTTGAGACAGGAGGGCTACAGATTCAAGTCCCGCCCGGGTGACATAGGGAGACTCTGTCTCAAAAAAATAAAAAGGTCTGGGTCTATAGCTCAGGGATAAAGTGCCCTTAGGTACGATCTCCTGTACTACGAAAACAACAAAAAGATAAAACTCGGGAACTAAAACATCCCTCTCAGCCGGAAGTGGAGGCACACGCCTGTAAGCCCAGCACTCAGGAGGCTGAGGCAGGAGGATCGCTGTGAGTTTGATACCAGCCTGGGCTACATAGTGAGTTCCAGGTCAGTCTCGCCTACAGTGAGACCTTGTCTCAAAAAATAAATAAATAAAACATTTTAAAAAATAAAACATCTCTCTCTTTTGATCTGTTTTTTTTGTTTGTTTGTTGTTGTAGTATTGGGGATTGAACCAGTGGCTCACACATGTTGTGCAAGCATTCTACCACTGAGGGGCACCTCCAGCCCTTCTTATTTTATTTATTTATTTTGAGCAGGGATCAACCTGGATCCTTGCACTTGCACTTGCGAGGCAGGCGGTGGAGCCACTGAGCTAAATCCCCGGCCCAAACCCTTCAAAACTTGCTCAGGTTGACCTGAACTCCTGTCTCCCGCCCGACTCCTGCGTAGCTGGGATCACAGGCGTGCGCCACACCTGGCCTGTTCTGCTCCTTTCCCTTGGGTTCCTTCTCTCCCACCGGGCCCGGGACCCCACCACCTATCTGTTCCATATCCAGCAAGCCCACTCCGGCCTGTCGGCGTGGGCCAGGGCAGCGGAAGCCACTCCAGGTGTCCGCGACCTCACGCTGACCGGCACACCCAGCATCTCCGGCCTGCAGCTGCGCGAGCTGAGCGGCCGCCGCCTCCCGCGATCCCCCCGAGTCCCTGTCCCCGCCCCTGCCGTTTCATCCCCTCGGAATCAGCCCTGATACTCACCGCGGCTGATGGCCGCAGGCGGCCACGGAGCACCTGTATGTGGCCAGTCCGGAGCGGACGTGCCGCCAACACACAATACACACGGGCCGGGGATTTCGCTCAGTGGTGCCGCCGCCTGCCTCGCGAGCGCAAGGGCCCGCCCGGTACCAGAAAAAGCAAACAAAACACGCGCCAAAGCCTTAATCGAAGAGTTTAACACATTTCATGATGACTGCTTCACTCCAGGCGTGGAGGCGCGCACCGCAGCTGCAGGAGAAGCAGCCCTCGAGTTCAAGGGAGCACAAAGCCCGTCTCAGACGAACAATAAAGAATTGCTCCGTGTCGCTTGTACACGCGGAGCTACTCGCGGATCCGTGGAGTCGGTGCTCGGTCACAACAGTATCCCTTCTGCACCCCGGCCCCACTCCCGCCCGCCGCGTCTTCCGAGTTTACGCTCGCGCACGCGCCTTTCCGGGTACGTGCACGAGCAGCTGTCCCCGCCCCGCGGGTGCCCCGCCCAC